ATCGCACTGTTGATATTTCCTTAAAAGTTATTTCGTGTTTTTAATTTCTTTTTTTTTTTTGCACATAAATTTAATATTTTTATATTGTATTTTGTTGTTAAAAGTTATCAAAATAGTTTAAAAAATAGTTTCCAACTTAAAATAAAATTTTTAATAAAATTGTGTCACTTTTACGGAATGCGAAGAAGATTAGGACAAAAGCATAAAATTTCTTCAAAAATGTGGCTTAATTTAAGCTTACATTAAAATTAGGTTGTAGATTTTAGTAGGTTTACTAAGAAGATCCGCATGATAGAAGGTGATATCATAATGATTTACGTGTCAAGGCTTAGAAAAGTCAGTAGACATAAGAACTTCAATGTAATGCCCATTTGTTAGAAAAAAATTTTCCAAAATTGAGAAAGAACGATTTGTTTTCGTCGGTTACATTCTGAAAATTAATTTCTAGATATTTGTGGTGCATATGATTTCCGACATAAAGTAGTATTCTTGAATATCCATTATTAATTTTTGCTACAAAATAAATTTCCCATAACACAGACTCTTTTTTCTATGTGATACAGTTTTTTGTCAGCTGTTATACCCTATTTGTTACTTTAACGATATATTTGTTTTTAATTTTCTGCGGAATAATTTCAGTATTTTTTAGAATTAAATAAAAAAAATGAAAAAAAATGTTCTGGTAAATTGGTATATAGAATTTTAAACAATTTCGCATTAAAATTAAATCAAAACTATATATTAACACATGTTATTTATATAGTTTTCGTAATGTAAATGCGAAAATAGTGCTTGCAAACAGCACTAAATTTTCTGAGTGTTAATGCTGCTTCCTGTTATTTTTATTATGAGATTTTGAATTGCGATCTACAGATTTATTGCACAAATTATTTCTCCTTCATGGATTCAGAGTATTTCTTTAACTCAGATTTCCTTGATAAACTATAGTATTTAACTTACTTTACTGAGTCTCATTTTCTCAACCGCTATAAAATCCTCACCTGGGTATTTATTTCGTTTATGCTTCAATGCTGGGTATCTGAACCTATAACAAACAGATAGTATTAGAATAGCAGTAGTAAAGCACTGTGAAAAATGTAAATGTAATTTTAACGATTTTGTCCCAATGGTCGGTGAAGCTATTTCAGATGTTTTTTAAATATTTAAAATTGTATAAATATAAGTGCCAATATATATAATTGGTATTTGATTTAATAAAGAAAGGACTAATTAATCGGAAAGTAATTACTAAATGGATTTCGAAACTTGTTCAACTATGAAGTGTGTTAAAAAATACGTTAATTACATGCATAAATCTGGTTTTAGTTTAACTGGAATAATGAAAGTTGAAAGATATTCCGATATCTCTTCTTAAAAAGTACTGATAAACATATAAAAATATATTTATATAAAAATATATATATGCTTTGGTGTAAGCGTAAGCTTAGTCCAATTAATTTGTTAGCTTCTTTTCAATAGAAGAAATAATATGAAATAAACACCAATTAATAATAGTTAACATATTTATATAGCTGTGATTTATGCGTTAATTCTAAGAATAGCAGGACAAGATAAAATGTTGTTAGCAACTAAACAACTCAAAGTATACAAAGTATACTAATACTAACGTCTTAAAAAAAATTATATACTCTCAAGTAAAAGTAAACGAGTATGCCTTTGTAGAGTTGAGTGCCAGCGAAGCCAAGCGAGACTTTTCCAGGCAATGTTCAGTTTGGCAGCAAACATGCATTGGAATAATATCGCATGATTTCTCCGTTAATGGAACTAAGCACATGGTCTGATTAGAAAGACTCGGGTGGTTATCCCAATAATCGATTTCACTAAAGATTCAATGGATTTGGATTTAGAATTTTTTCATATAAAATATCATAGAACAGAAATATATTATATTATGTTGAGGCTAGTTGAGTCAGTGCATCTGAGCACTTTTACTCTCTATTAACTGCGAGGTTTTTTCAAAAGCCCTCTTTACGTCTTGACTGGATTATTATTTATCATTTCATCAGACTAAGCAATAATTGACCTCAAATCTGCATACCTCCCCGAGGAGCCTGTAACCATTCTGAGATTTGATAACGCGGTTTGGTAAGTCTGTCAGTTTTCGTAAATAATTTCAGGGCTCTATCCTTTATGTATTTTTTGATGGGATTAATCTTGATGTCCCTGAGGATGTCATTCATCCTAATGTACCATGGTACTTTGTAAAGTCTTCTCAGAGCCTGACTTTGTGCAATTTCTAGCTGGCGGATTACAGTGTTTGAAGCTTTGCTAAACGTTAGACAACCATATAGAAGTGACGGACGAATTATTTGGTTATATATCAGTTTCCTGTTCTTAGCATTGAGATTTTCATTTCTGAATAACGGTTGGAGGTAATGAAGAATTTTTTTCAGCTAATTCTTTTCAGTTAAACATGTTTAAGTCATGTGAATCGTTTGTCAGCGTGATACCGAGATATTTAACGCTATCCTCCCAGTTTATTACCATATCACCCACTTTCACTCTTGACGGATTCTGTCTCCACTTACGCGTTATAAACAGAGCCTTAGTTTTATCATTATTGATTTTTATTTTCCATTTCTGAAAATACTCCAGAATGAGGTTTATATGCTCTTGAAGTGTGTTGGTTATGTTGAGAGCACATTTATCTGAGTATAGCACACACGTATCGTCAGCATATAACGCCAGAGTCGAGGGACATAACATTGGAATATCAGATGTATAAATATATATAAATATATATCATTAAAGAAAAAAATAAAAACATATTATTATATATATTAAATGCTTAATATATATATTCTTACTCTGTGAAGTCGGTTCTATAATACATTTTATTGAAGCAATAGTGCTTAGAGACCTACTCTAAACTCAGAGTGAGTTTCGCAGTGCCACATCCACTAATAATAATAATAATATTTTCCTAAAAAAACCTTTTTATGAAATGAAACAAGATTTTTTTATGCTTCAGATACTCATTTTAATTTTATTGATTTAATTTTATTTTTAAATTTTATATATTTAATTTTTAATAATAATTAATAATAATTATAATATTAATAATAATAATAATAATCATAATCGTAATAATAATAATAATAATAATAAATTTTAACGTTTCTCATTTTATACATTTATTCATTATAAATAATAATTTTAAATTTAATTTCGAATGAATTTTTTAGTGTTTTTTTCAGTTTTAGTTGAAATTTTAGTTTTTTTCTCAAAATTTTTACGTGTTTAGTTCATTTTTTAAATATACTTTTAAATATTATTTTTTATCGAGTTTTACAAAATATCACATTTTAAGCTTTTTTTGGATTTATCCATTTTTCTTTTGTAAAAAAATTAAAAATTAAATGCAAAAATATTCAAAAATTGAAATGCAAATTTTTATTTCACAAAATTTTTAAAGAGGTTTAAATAAAAATAAATAAAATAAAAACAAAATATTTAAATATAAATGAATTAAAATTTCAATAGTTTAAGCATTTAAAATGTTAAAGAATTTTAAATTTTTTTATAAGGGTTTCTATTTGTTTAAATTTATAAATAAATTTAACAAAAAAAAAATAAATTTTTATTTTTATGCAATTTTTAATGTTTTTTTTAGATTTTCATATTTGCTTTTCTTATTTTATTATAATTAAAATTTCTGTGTATTTAATTTAAAATGTTGCTGAAACTGCGGATTTCAAGTTAATTTTAAAATTTTTTAAATTTATTATTTATTTTATTTTTTTTTCTTTTTGTGTTTAATATCGTTCACATATTTTTAGACATTTAATAGTTTTGCATGAAATTTTAAATTTTCCAATATCTGTGCGCCTTAAACTGTAATTGTTGTTTTTATATATTTTAAATATAATCTTTAATCTTTTTATTCATATTATGCTTTTTACGTTTTTATGTTTTTATGTTTTTATGTATAATTAAATAATTTTTATGCGATTTCTTGCATATATTATATTTTTTCTGTATATTCATTATTTTCTCATAGAATCAACATTTATGTATATATGTAGTTTTGCTATTTATTCAATTAAGTATTTTCTTTTTATTTTCTGCTAATAAATTGTATTTAAACTTTAATCATTAAACTCTTGATAAAGTTCATTTAAAATAATTTGTAAATTTAAATAATTTCTTTACTTTCTGTTTCTGTTTTTATTTTTGTTTTTAGTTTTAGTTTTAAATGTTCTTATACATTTTTTTTTAATTTTTCCACCTATTTTTCCACCTTTTTATAGGTTGTAAATATTTTAATATCATATTTTCATTTTTTTACAGTTTTTGCACTTCAGATACTTTTTTCTGTAATTTTTTTTTTGTTTTGTTGTGTGAAATTTTACAATAAAATTTGCAGATTTTCATACTCTTGAATTTTTAAATTCCCTAATAAATATTTTCATATTAATTTCATATTTAATTGTAATATATTTAACGAAAGTATTCAAATTACATATTTACACTCTAAATAAATAGCATTTAAAATAAAAGTCAATAATAATATTTTTGCATATTATTAAAAGCATTCTAAAAAATTTAAATATTAATAAATTTTAATTTAAAATTAATTTTATTCAAATTTTTCTTGTAATTTTTATCGAAATAGTTTACAGCTTAGAAATTAAATTTAAGTGTTAAATAATTTTTTTTTATTTTTTAATTTTATTTACAGAAGTTTCAATCAAAATTTACTCTCTCTTAAAATATATATATAATAACTACATATAGAAATAAATGCATAATGCTGAGCTTATACATAAATTCTTTTAAAATCATTTTTTGTTTATATTATTTTATATAATGTTTTTTATTTATTATTTAATTTGTTTAAATGCTAGTTTCTTGTAAATGTGCACAATATTGTTGTGGCAACTTTTTTATTTAATAGTTTTTATTTGCTAATTAAATGCATTTTACATATACTGCATACACATTAAAATTTATTTAATTTATTATTTTTTTATTGAATATTTATTAAAATTTGTAAGAGATTGTTTTTCTTAATTCAACAACATTCAATAATTCATTAAAGGTGCTGAAGAAGAACTGTTTATTATGGTGCGTTTATAAATTTATTTAAATATTATTTAAAATTTAAACCCAAACGCTTTTTGTGGCAATATTTCTTAAGTATCAATCTGAAAAAAAAAAGAAAAATAGTTTTATTAGTAATTTATATTACCTTATTATTGTCTATTATCTATATTAACTAAATATGATCTAAATATTAATATATCTCTCAATTAAAAACAAATGTGTACTCAAGATACCAGTTATATACTTAGGTATATATAAACATTATCCTAAAGTTAATATATTTCTGTATTAAATTTTTTGTCAACATTCACAAATTTATGTATAAATATCTGTTCAATACACCTAGATATGTGTATATATATTTATGTATATATAATCTGAAAGTTAAGATACTTCTCTATTAACAACACACAAATATTTATATATAAATATATACCTATTATAGCCAGAAGTGTGAATTAATATATATTATCTAAAAGTTAATATATCTCTCTGTTGATTTTTGTGTCAGTATCCACAAATTTATATATAATATAATATTCATATATATATACAAATTTATATTTATATATAATTTATCCGGATGTGTACATATAAAACCCCAATAATTCTAAAAAAACAATATACGTATATATTTTATTTGTACTTGATGTGCCAATTCAAGAGGTCCTAAGTCCTACACACTCGAGTGTGTATTATTCAACTTTATATATTTAATATATACATACCCGGGTTTACTCTCTTGATTAACATCCAAATGTATGCATATAAAAATCCTTAACCACATAAAAGAGCTGAAAAGAACATAAATGGTTTTTGTATGTACACCACCTACTATGATGTTAGGTGCTGATTGTAGAACTAAGACCAATCTACATAAAAACAAACCTATTTTATCTATTCTATGAATATTTTATCTATTCTATGAATATTTTATCTATGAATAGATAAAAGTCCAACACACCAGTGCGTGTACATATAAAACACATGTAATTTTCTGCTGCATAATTCTTAATACATATATATATCCGACTTATATCGGGTTTACTTCTTTGACCAACACTCAATCAATCAAGAAAGTCAAAAATAATTAACAAACAAATTCTTCATTACCCTTTTTAAAAAGGTTTTTTTCTGTTATATTATTTAATAGGTAATATTTAATATTTTAATGAATTCAATGAAAAAAAATATATATTTATTATAAATTATTAAAAATATATTTCTTATATGTAAATACCCATATAAACAGTGTTAGTTGATTTAAAAATAAACTCAATAAAATAGTTGGTTTTTTTTTTAAAGATTAATTAATACTAGTAACTTACCGTAACGATCATGAAAAATGGGGCGACAACATTCTTCGACGGCATTTAAATAACGTGATGTATAATTTGCACAACGATATTGTATGACATGGCATGAGGCAGTCTTTGAATTATATTCCTAAAATAAACCAAAAAAATTTTATTAAAATAAACTTCACAATTAAAAAAGAAAGACTTCTAATATTTAATTGTTAAAATTCAAGGAACTCTCGAAAAAAGGGGGAATCAGAACAAAAAGGTTTACTGGGATAATATATCAGGATTAACACAATCTAAGTCACTTATTGGTACCTACAACAATAAAAGTTACCAGGAGTGAGTTAAAAGAAAAACTTAGACTCATCACAGGAATCCTAACAGAGTACTGTAAACTGAAATACCACCTTACGAGATTGGGTATATATACGGATGCAAACTATAGATTTAGCGTAGAGAATGAAGATTCAGCCATATATGTGATGTTAGAATGCTCTGTGCTTATGCACATACGGAATAGGCTACTGGGAATGTATATTCTTACGGAAGAAGCAACAAAACTCTGTAAATTGGGTTATATACTACTTTTTATCGACGTAACAGGGCTTAGAGAGTTACTCTAAGCGCAGAAGTGGGCACAATAGACTCGACAATCCCAATGTAATATCCCATAGCAATAATAATAATAGTTATAATAAGGAAATAAAAGAGTTTTACAATAAGTTTAAAATAAACGCAATAGAAGATTAAAGGGTTAGGCACTAAACAGAAACAGACGAGACAATTAATCATTTCAGAAAATTCCATATATTCGTTATCGTTTATCATAAATAGATTATTTGACATGTAGCATACATTAAGCATAATCACAATATTTCTGGCATAAACTTTCATTTTAAGTTTATGGAAATATATATTAAAACTATTTATGTTTTTCTAGAGGTTGTTACCAGAATACATCGAGAATAAAAATCATTTGCCTATAATAACACTTAAAAAATGAAGAATGATAAATTTGAATTCTATTTTTTGCTTACAAACATTTCGCTTGCAAAAATTTTGTTTGCGAAAAAAAAGAAAAATGTGTGTATTCTTTCTGAGATCCACTTTACACTAAAAATTTGATATAAAACTCAGTATAAAAAAATCGCAATACAGTGACCAAATTTTTCCTCACAATGTCCAAATTTTTTCCCACAATGTCCAAATTTTACTTCACAATGTCCAAACTTTTTGGAACATTTTTTGGAACATTTTGGAGTTTAGCGTCAATTTTTCGTACGAAATGGATATGAGTATTAGGCTTAAGAATAAAATATGTTTATCTCAAGCTTATAAACAAATTAATTTTTCTTTTTATATTAAGCCATATATATTGAGTGTTATGTTATGTTATTATATTTAGTTATTAATGTAATTGTAGAGTTTGTGTGTAAAGTAATTACATCAAACTAGCGCTGATATGTCAATAAAGAAAAGAAATAATGTCTAATAGTAGTCAATGAGATTATAATATATGTGTGTAAAGGATATTAATGTTAATATAAAATAATTTTTATTATTTTTTTCTATTAACTGCTATCATATATAGTTATATATACAAACTAATTTTTACAATTAAGAAAGGAAGTAATTACTTAATATCAAGTTTTGGGTTTTCAACAAAAGGACGATATACAATACTTTCAGAAGTTTAGCATATTTGGACATTTCATTTGTTATTGTACAAATTTCATATCTTATTTGTTTTTAGTTTCTGTATAATACTTAAACAAATAAAAGTGTTTAACATAAAACTCAATGAAGCAATTTGCAACAAAACGGCGACAAGGAGTCGTTCAAAAATCGCAAGGATACACAAAACAAACTAGAGTAAATGTATAAATATAAATGGAATGAAATAAAATAAAGTAAAATGAAATAAAATAAAATGTAATAAATGAACTGGAATTTAACTGGAGAACAACAATTTGCGCTTGTTTATCTGTAAAATCAAATAATAATAGACACATTCACCCAAAGAAAATATAAATATTTATAGGGGAACGAGCACATGAACTCGTAAGTGCAGATGAGCACACACAAAATTACACAAAAATTTGTATGTCGTATTGTGTGCTGTACTGTGCTGTGCTGTGTTGTGTTGTGTTGTGTGAAGTTCAGTTCATTTATGTGTCTGTGGCGCGTCTGATAACATTGTTACCCCTTTTCCGTGTAACCAAAGTTATTACTTTTTTGGTAAGAGCTGAAAACATATTTTGTAGGCGTTTAATGTAAATACACACTACACACATTTACACATACGTAAATATGTCTATAAATGAAACATATTGCAAATATTTTGTGGAAGAGTGCCGTGCCTCTATGAGTGTGTCTCTGTGTATTTTGCACTGTTTTTGGGTGTTGCAAATTGTTTGCATGTGTTGCATAAATAATGTATAACAATAAAGCGCATAGAATGTTATCAATAAATTGCTGATCTAACTTGCCTGACTTTACACCTTACCCATATCACTACTACCGGTTGTTGGCTGCCGACTACTGAGTACTGAGTACTGACTATCGACTGCAGCCTGTGTTTCATTGTCTGCGCCCATTGAGCTCATATGTGAGCATGTAAAGTAAAAATGGTCAAAAAGGCCAACGCCAAGAGCCAAAAAATGCAACAAATTGTCATTGTCCTGCTTGAGAAGGAGTTTCTTACGTGTTCCAAGCACATTTGTTAGAAAATTTTTTCTTCTGCTACGTATTTTCATCCAATTTTCCTTGTTCACAGTTTGTTCCACAAGCTACGTGATTGTCCGTATGTGTTTACGATTGAGTCTGCCAGACAATTTTATTGTTCGCATAAACTTGAAAGTCTGTTAGCTTCTGTATTGGCTGGTTAAGGTGCTAATAGACTTTTACTCTAATACACTCAGCAGTGCATAAAGTACGAGGAATATTGAGCATTCTATACAGAGAATCCTAATATTTAAATATTTAATTTGGTTGTGTGACAGTATTGAAATTTACTAAGTGTTGCGTTCAGCACAACTGCGGCTGTAAGTAATGGCAAACAATTTGTGGTCAGGAGACGGGGTAAGTTACACAATATAAATAGGTTTAAATAGGTTTCTATAATGACTTTGTGTTATAGAGAATAAAGTTTTGTGTGTATTGTTAACCAACATTTAAATTATTATTTTATTCAATAGACTCATATTTACTTTATGTCTGAAAAGCACTATTGAAAAAATAAGTAATCACAATACAAAACTAAGAAGGAAAGCATGGAGTGAATGTGGCGACTGAGTATTTAGACACAGTTTAAACCGTTACATTCAATTCTAATTTACGTATAGCACTCAAAGACCCCTTAAAAACGTGAACGCAAGCCATAGATATGATCACCCAACAGCGTGACTTACTAAATCATGAGCGTAAAAAGGAAATTCTGTGGAACCATTTCGAAATGAGGGCTTATAATAGAGTCATATGAGAGTTTTATTTGTAATTTTAGCTGTCAATTGTTGTTGCTTTCAATACAAAATGAATATTTTTGACGCCTAAAATTATAAACAAAACTCTCGTATAAAACCAGTATTAGGGTTCAATGGATTTTTAGGGAGTATCATTTGGAGCAAGCAGTTTGCTATATAAAAATGACTGTATAAAGTACATTATTACTTGAAAAGTGCAAATACGTATAGTATCCTCTATTTTAGAGGGTAGAATAGTGCACAAACAGCGTGGGTTAATAAATCACGTCCATAGAGAGGAGCTTCAGGGTACAGTAAATTTTTAACAAAGGGACAGCTACAAGTGGGAGTATGACTTGGTGCTAGGATATATTGCTCTTTAAAATGTGCAGATATATATAACATGGTATATTGCAGTGGAAAATAGTCCAGAAGAACAGTGACAGAATATTGTAACTACAAGTGGAAGCATCATTTGGATAAAGCGGTATTCTGCATAGGGAATATTAATGTACAGATATATGTACTATCTTGTATTGCACGGTAGAGCAGTTGAATATTGTGTTTGGAAGTGAGAGTATGATTCAGAACAAGTATGTTGCTACATATATATACTTGTGTACTAATACACTTGAAAAATATATAGACATAGCGTATCCTGTCTAGCAGGTGAAAGTAGTCTAAAGTATTCCAGTAGAGTCTCCGCACTGGAATTCCAAGGAAATATAATGGTACCAATTGAAAGGCATACCCTTTGGATATAGTTTCTTTCTTGGTAGAACCTTAATTTGTGTGAATAGACAAGAACCTGCTAAAAAAAATTTCATTGGACGACGTTTGGAACGTATTTAATAGCATGGTCTTGTAGTCAGAATTGCTGACAAATCTTGTCAGCGTAAGAACGCAATTTTTTTATACCGGTTGAGATTTTAGAAGGTACTCGTATTTATGGTTCTATGATTTGTCTTCTATTAGACTTTTTTAATTCTTTAGACAAAGGAATTTTTTTTGGTACACGGACAAACCCAGTGTAAATAGGCTCCTATACTCAATGTCTTAAAGAAAGCTCAAGTAATTTTTTCCAAGAGAGGAAGGAAACACCTTAGCTCACCTACTGTGCTAACCCACTTTTCTCTTTCCAAATATTGTTCAGACTGCTTGTACATTGACTTAGTCAAGATATACTTGTATAATAAATGTTCACAATGACCTTACCAAATCTAATCGCATTCAATTCAAGGTTTACACATGATTTCCGATTGGCCATTTTTATTTATGGCCATGTGATTCTATTGTGATTACCCACATGCGTCTGTGTGTGAGGCACAAATGTAAGAAGTATGGGAATGTCATTTAATTAATTTAGACTTTGACATATTACCAAAGGCAAGACGTAGCGTATATGAGTTGTTTTGCTGGTGTTATGGTATGTTCGGTACCATAACAAACAAAAAAAAAAAAAAAAATAAAAATAAAAATAAATGCAATAATACAAGTTCCGACACCACAGGACATCAAATACCGATACACACTCAAACTGTGACAACAACACAAACGCACAGTGAGCAAGACTGAGCAAGAGTGACGAGAAAAATTCATTTCTGTCACATAAAATAAATGTTGGCCCATATATCGTCAACAGCAGAACGTCTTTTGTGCGCGGTCTATGAGCCATCAAGCT